CATAAAATGACCATATAACCAAATACACCCTTAAATTCTTATTTAACATGCCGGGTCCCATAAAGGCATTAAGTACTAGTAACCAAAAAAAAAAAAAACAAGCTAGTTTAAACCCTTTTTTTTAATGAAAATTAGCAAATTTAAACTGATGAACTATTTGATTAAGTTAAATGAAATTAGTTTCATCAATTATACGATTATGCTTTAGATATTTTCTAATGTTCAACTAGTTTTTTTAGTTTGTGTACCTTGCAAATTTTCTATTTATATTTTATGTTTATATTAAGATATTTCACTATTTAGCCTTGGTAGTGTTTTATGAGTATGTAGTTTTTATGCCTTATACAATGTGAAAATGTGTTTTAAGAAATACTGAAGACTTGGGAATTTTATGTAAGAGCTGCATTATATTGGATACTCTATTGAGTGATTGAAAGTTCCAAACTTTAACCATGAATATGTGAGAACTTTATTTTGGCTATTATTGTATACTTAGTTGAGCCATTCTTCCTATCTCAATTTTTCATCTCTAGCTTTCTTTTTTTTTTCTTTTTTTCCTTTTTTACTATCTTTTTTTAACAAAATTGGAAAGATAGAAATACATGCAATCTTAAAGCCTTGCATAGAATTCTCTATTTTCTGTTGGAATCTATGAATTTTTATTTTTATGAAACCTATAAAACTACAGCCTATGTTATATTATTGAAGACGTTACAAACTTTCATACTTATGTGTACATTTAAAATTGGCCAATTCAATGTTGGGCCATTCAGAGTTGGACCGAACACTATACCTTGTAACACAGGGTTCTTCAACTAATTTAATAATAATTGTAGCAACAACAACTTACTCCATATATAACTCATTGATCATCTTTGTTGCCATTGAACATCTTCTTGAAACATGCCACTTTCAATGTTATAACTACAAGTATCCAGTGTTGGACATCATCCACCCATTGAAAATAAGCATATCGCCAATTTTTTACAAAAATTAAAGTTCCCACGACTCCCCAAAATCCAGTTACAAAGCCTAACAACACAACAATGTAAAACCACATTCTTTTAAGTGCACCTTCATCATTGTCCTTGAAGTTAGCGGTTGTTGGAGGTAGTGTATCATTTGAGCATTTGTTCAAGAGTGGAGCTCCACAAAGTTGAGGATTGCCAGCATACATGGTTGGATCTTCGAGTGTTTGGAGTTGATAACCTGTTGGAATTGGCCCTGACAAGTTGTTGTAGGACAAGTTGAGGTGGCTTAACTTGGTTAAACTTGACATGCTATTTGGGATCATTCCTGAAAGGCCATTCTTGGAGAAATCAAGAGATTCCAAATTCTCCATTTGTCCAATTTTCTCAGGGATCTTTCCTGAGAGATGATTCCAAGATAGATTCAAATTGTGCAAATCCTTAAGCAATATTAGCTCCTCTGGAATGTATCCTATTAGATTGTTACTTGAAAGATCTATACTAATCTCAAGTCTCAGAGTTCGTCTTTTATACTCAAGGTATCTCCCTTTCACAACCTCTATCAAAGGTGCTTCATCCCAATATCCACCATATGAGTCATGGATCAATTGTGTTGCATTCACCATAATCGGAAACTTTCCAAAACAAGGAGGAATGCTTCCTATCAAATTGTTATCCGCAAGATCCAGAATTTGCATATGAGAGAAAGAGCATAGTTCCAAAGGAATATAACCAGAAACCAAATTTTTTCGCAGACGAAGAACCTTTAAAGAGTGGTTGCTGATCTCCCCCCTTACAATGCTTGTTAAATTTCCAGAAAATTTATTTTCACCCAAATCCAAAACCACTAAAGAAGTGAAATTTTTCAATGCCACATGCAGTCCCTTATGGAGACTATTGTTGTTCAAGTGTAGTAAACTTAAAGAAGAAAGCTGCACCATTGTGCTCGGAAATAAACCTGAGAGATTGTTAGAAGATAGATCAATAAAAAAGAATGATTGATCATTTCTCCAACAATTAGGAATACTTCCGGATAACATATTATTTGAGAGATCAAGATATCCCAAAGATTTTGAATTGCATAGCGACTTTGGAATATTTCCAGATAACATATTGTTTGAGAGATCAAGTACTGCCAAATATTTTAAATTGCATAGTGACTTTGGAATTGAACCTTTTATGAGGTTATTTGCAAGATGTAATACCTCCAACATTGGCATCATATGACCTATGTTTTCTGGAAGAGGACTTGAGATGCTAGCATTAGAGAGATCAACCATCTTTATTGTCTTTGGTAATTGAAGCCATTTAGGAAATCCTATTCCAAATTGATTGCTAGAAAGATATATTCCCTCTAACTTAGAAAGTTGCCAGATGCTATCTGGAATACTCCTCAATTGATTCCCAGAAAGATCCATGCTCTTTAACTTAGAAAGTTGCCCGATGCTATCTGGAATACTACTCAATTGATTCCCAGAAAGATATATTCTCTCTAACTTAGAAAGTTGCCAGATGCTATCTGGAATACTCCTCAATTGATTCCCAAAAAGATACATGTCCTCTAACTTAGAAAGTTGCCCGATGCTATCTGGAATACTCCTCAATTGATTCCCACAAAGATACATGCCCTCTAACTTAGAAAGTTGCCCAATGCTATCTGGAATACTCCTCAATTGATTCCCAGAAAGATACATGCTCTCTAACTTAGAAAGTTGCCCGATGCTATCTGGAATACTCCTCAATTGATTCCCAGAAAGATACATGCTCTCTAACTTAGAAAGTTGCCCGATGCTATCTGGAATACTGCTCAATTGATTCCCAGAAAGATCCATGCTCTTTAACTTAGAAAGTTGCCCGATGCTATCTGGAATACTGCTCAATTGATTCCCAGAAAGATCCATGCTCTCTAACTTAGAAAGTTGCCCGATGCTATTTGGAATACTTCCACTCAATTGATTGTTAAAGAGACTTATGCTTTTTAACTTAGAAAGTTGTCCGATGCTATCTAAAATACTCCCAGTCAATTGATTGCTAAAAAGATAAAGAACTATCAAGGAAGTCATGTTTTGGAGAAATATAGGTATTGGACCTTGGAAAAAGTTAATTGAAAGATCTAAGTGTTGAATATTGCCAAGCAATGTAAAATTAATGGGATGGTTGCAAGATGGTAAGTGATGATTTTTGAGACTACAACTTGACAAACTTAACCATGATAGTGAAGGAAGCATGCCAAGTACTTGAAACAAGTTTGATGATGTAAGACTTAAATTTACTCCGCTTAAATCAAGAAATGTCAATGAAGTCATGTTTTGGAGAAAAATAGGTATTGGACCATGAAAAGAGTTTTGTGACATATCGAAGTGTTGAATATTTCCAAGCAATGTAAAATTAAGGAGGTGGTTGTGAGATGGTAGGTGAGAATTTTTTAGACTACAATCTGACAGACTCAACCATGATAATGAAGAAAGCATACCAAGTGCTTGGAACAAGTTTGATGAGGCATGGCTTAAATTTACTCCACTCATATCAAGTCGTTGCAAAGAGGAGAGACGAGAAATCCACTGAATGTCATCATCAACCTTCAATCCCCCATAATAATACTGAGAAAGATCAAGGACACGAAGCCTTGTAAGATTTCCAAGTTCACCAGGAATTCTTCCTCTAAACTGTGCATAAGAGAGATTTAGGTACCTCAACTGCTTCATCAAGCCAAGGGAGGGTGAAATAAGATTACCACTGAAATTATTGTTGCTCAAGTCCAGGTGTTCTAAGTATCTCAACTTCAGCAAACTTGAACCAACCTCCTTTACATCGTCAATCAAGTACAATTGAGGTCGTTGATTACTAAATACTGATCCCCTGAGTTGAAGCGAGACAACATATCTGTTATTTTTATCACAGCCTACTCCTCTCCATTCACAACAATCATTGCCTTTCCAAGAAGACAACATATGCGATGGATCATGGAAACAAAGTTTGAACTTCAAGAGGGCTTCTCTCTCCTTTTCTATACAGCTAAAGCTTGTGTTCCGACCAGAACAAAACTCTGCAGCTCCAAAGAACAATACAGCAACTAGAACAAGCATAGCACAGAAAGTTTTCCTCATAATGATGTTTTCAATATTGTATGGAAGATTACATGTGATATTTAATTTTGCTTGTACATTAATATATAGTCCCATGGACAGGCAAATAAAACACCTTTCCCCGAAGTTACACTAAAGATAAAAGATTCCGCGTAAGTGATTTAAAGCAGCCTATTTTTGTATTTCGATCATGATCACTCGAGCGCGTTCACCAAGACTTGGATGTCTTTTTGGTCGTTGTTGCTTTAAAGTCAATTTAATTGGTGCTTTCATTGTCCTTTTGCCCCACCCTAATAATAACACAGCTTTTACAGGTCTTGTGCTACTGTTGTGCAACGTGAAGACTGGAAAAGTTTGAAAAATGGCTTTCAATTCTTAGAGATAACTATGGTTCGTGGAAATTTCTTCTCTTTTTACCTATCATGGAAATTTTTGGTCATCATGATTATGGTTTAAATATTGTGTGGAAG